TCTCTTGACTGGCCTGGGAACGCCTCGTCATTCCCCCAGAGGAGCTGGAGGAAGTGTCTAGGGAGAGGGAAGTTTGGGCATCTCTGCTTAGACTGCTGCCCCCGTGACCCGGTTTGGAATAAGCGGAAGAAAATGGATGGATGGATTTGGATTAAAAAAAAATTTGAAGTGATCTTTAAAACTCAGACATATTCTGACATGCAAAGGGAGCTATACATTAAAAGGGTGGCATTTTGGGCTTGATTTTCTTTGACATTTTTCAACTTGCCTTATACTTTTCTGTTATGTGACCAGATTGAAAAGCAACTGTAGGATAACCACATATCTTATGTAACCCAAAGTTCATTTTCTTTTTGGATTGTCTACTACCCTTTAAATTCCTTAACTCTCCACAGATAAAATCCATTAAAGTGAATATTTTATTATTGACATGATTGATGATATGGTGATTGATGTTTTGATTGATGAACATGATTGATGTCCCTTTTATTTTGCAGGTCTCCTTCTTTTCATCACTGTGGAATCATCCCTTCTTCACCATCAGCTGCATCACTCTCATAGCTCTCTTCTTTGCTGGGATACACAAACGAGTTGTGGCACCATCAATGTATCTTTTTTTCATTGCAGTTAATATGAAGTCAAATGTTTTGTTACACTTAAAATTTTTCAAGTTGCCCTGACAACACTCATTCAGCCTCAGCTGTTGACAACATAGTGCAGTGCACACAGAAGATGTTTGATATTATTTATTTATTTTGCTTTTATAATTAATTTCAGTTTACATTTTTGACTTAGTTAACATCTTTGACCTTTGCTCCCTCAGTATTGCTGCCCGGTGTCGGACAGTTTTATCAGAATACAACATGTCCTGTGATGATGTAAGTGATACTGGGATCTATTTTCAGTCTGCTTGTATTAATGCCAAATTATTGTAACCTGTCTTATTTGCATCTTTTGTTTGTTTGTTTGTTTTTTTTACAGACAGGGAAACTTATTCTTAAACCACGACCAAACATCCAGTAACCACAAGCTTGTGAGAGCTGTTTGGATAGTGTACCTGGTCTTGTTGCACAGAAACTGATCACTCACTGGTCTAACTCCTTAGAATGGTCGGAACAGCACAGAGGGAACTGCACTGATGTCATCATGGAAATGCATCTGAAAGAAAGAAGAATTTGACTGTTAGGGTCTTTTAAACTATGTCACTCTGTTGATGTCACCATTGAAGCTGCTGCTCTGCTCACATAGTCTCTGATATATTTTACTCATTAAGTGCAAGTTTGGATGTCTTTATTTCCGTTTCTGATGTTGAGCATGTATTTTATCTAAATGTTTCAATTTTTTATGTTATTTACCAAATAAATAAGATAAATAAGACGTAACAATGGGTCTCATTTTTGTTTAATGTATGGGCTATTAGGCCTTTAAATGTTCTATGGTTTGTGTCCCTGTGATTTTGCGACAGCCTCTCTGCTTTCCGTTAGCAAAGTTCATACTTTACGGCAGGGAACAGTCTTCCACATGGCGTCGTCCAACCAGACTGGAAATTGTGTGTGTGAGCTTTTGTAGCTACGTTTGTGTGTTAGAAATATAAAGGTTAATTACATACGTCGTTCGCACTTTAACAATAATTGAAATGGGTAAAAGTAAAACTACAAAATTCAAACGTCCGCAGCTCAACGCGGTTGGGTTGCCGGTGAATGCTGTGAAGGAAGTGGACGCTGAAGAGGAGGGCCACGGTTATGATGGTTGTCCAGCTGTGGAGTTGCTGGAGAAAGTAGGAACATGGTTTAGTCCTGTTTTTACTGTAAAATTACGTTTTTCTTATAACTAGTAAGTAGGTATTTCAGTATTCAGTGAAACAAACAGGGAAGATGTCCTTTATTATTATAACTGATCTCGAGCTTAGTCCACTAATGAGGATGGACTTTTATCTGTTTTCATTCTTAACACACTTATTTATATTATTTGCTGGATAGTTGTTAAGAGTTACTGGTAATAACTTTTATGTTTTCCCAACTTAATTGAACTTTGATACTATGTTCATGTGATGGCACATTTTATGTCTTGTCACCTGTTCTAGGCAAGTGCAGCTGGAAATAGTTTTGGCTGTGTGCACTGCAAGTGGTCTGAAACTGGTCAGTTTATATAGCAAGTGTCATGAATTCTATACATGTCCATAGTTGCAGAGTCCCAGTGCAGACATGCGAGAGTTTGCATGTGCCAGCATTTCTCGGGTGGTGCAGCAGACCCAAACCATCCCAGGCTTCCTCCAGAGGGATGCTGTGAGGCGTCTGGGGCCCATGCTCCTGGACAGGAGTCTGGCTGTCAGGGAGACTGCAACAGGAGCACTCAGGTAAGTCAGTATTGGAGTGGAGTGGTCTGGATTGATTGAATAGAGCTCTGGACCCTGTTTGCCAGAAACCTCTTAAATATACCAAGATCTTGGCGTCAACATGGTTTCAGGAAAGAGGGTCCTGACAAAACACAAGTTTGTGGCAGCTGCTGCAGTGAACTTAAACACAGAAGAGCAGGAGACCACTTAATCTCAACATTTGGCGAGAAGGAGAATATGCCAGTTTTGTGATGCTGACAAAGGTGAAGGACTATGTCAACCACTCTACATACAGGAACCTTCTGAGAAGATGTCTTGTTCACCACATGGAACAAGTCTGCAAGTAATCAAGAGGTTCTTAAATAGACCAATTTGACAGCAGATATTTTGATTTCTAACAAAAAGCATCAAGGTGGAACTAATAACACTAACGATGGGTCAGCGCCATTTAACTCACAGGAAATTAAAGGTGGTATACTGGCTTTATGAATATCAGTAATTACACTTTTCATTTCCTGCGGAGACATTTATGCAAATCTGATGTGAAAGAGGGATTTGTGACATCAGTAACGGCAGACTACTGGTGTAAAGTCTGAGATGATTCAGTGTTATTTTATTAATTTTATTTGTTACATCAAACTGATATCAATCATCCGTACCGTTGTAGTGATATGTACGTACCTTGAGCACTGACTGATGCGGTGCCCAGTAATAGTTGCCTTGTTTTCAGAAACTGCAAGGAATGAAGTGAGGACACTTTTTAAATGGAGTTGGATAAACCTTTTCATTATTTTAGCTGCAGGGTGATAGTGTTTTTCAGTGACTTACATTAAATGGGAACGTGGGTGTTAAGTTGCACTTATGCAGAGTCAGCAGAATGGAGCAAAAAAACAGAATGAATACCCCTTAGTCTGACTTGGGAGTGTTATTATTCCAAAGATGTTATCCCAAGTACTAACTAACTGCAGTGTAAGAAGAAAGGGTTTGTTAGGTTTTCATGTTCTGATGACTTATGATTTAATTGTCCCATGATATATTGTTCACAGTTTCACTTTTGATCCTTTTTCTAATGTTTACTTAGACAACAGATCAGATTTGCTTGTTATTCCCATTTTCTACATTCTTGCCCCGGATAACTATTATTAAACTCAACTAAAATACAAATGGCTATCTGCAACACATGAGGATCACCCTAGTTGTGTTCACAGTCAACACTGCCAGTCTGAACTGTTGTCCTCCAGTAAACTGTAAATCAGTTTCCATGTCCTGCATATCAAAATAAGAGTATCGCTCACATGAGTCTTCAGGCTTGCTCTTTCTCACACTCATAGAACAAACAGCATCTCCAGCTGCAAATTTTCCACTAACTTTGTGTGTGTGTGTGTGTGTGTGTGTGTGTGTCTGGGCCTCCTGTTTTTCCCCCTAACAGGAATCTCAGTGCATGCGGAGGCCAGGAGGTGTGTGAGGACATGGTGAAACATGATGTCATGACTCCTCTGACATCGTTGCTTAGAGAGGTGAGACTACTGCACTGGTTTTAGTTCACCTCATCACTTCAGCTCCTCCTGCTTTACAGCTGTTACACCCGCTAACTGTATATAAAAACTGGACAAACCCGCTGTGACATCACCCATTGGTTTTCTGAAGAGCAGTTTTGAAGCTCAAGCCTGGCCATCACCCTTCTGGTAGTATTTCACTCCGCCCACTAAGTCTAATCCAAAAATGGGCAAAGAGGCAGAGCATGACTGGAGCTCGCTAGACAGCAAGCTCCAGCCTGTCACTCAAAGCAGCCTTAATTGTGTGTAACTTTTAGTCTCAATATAATTTAAAGGGGAAAGTTATAAAAAAAATAACATGAGTTTAAGATGGAAGTCTATGGTGATTGACTCCCTTATGCAGCCAGCCTCAAGTGGCCTTTTGAGGAACTGCAGGGTTTACCACTTCTGCACTGGCTTCATTTCTAAGCCTCTGAGTTTGCTGCTTCGTTACAGCAGGCTATGATATCTTCACCAACTAGTTTCAGCCCAGAGCAAAGATGACCGACCCTACACTTAAACAAATTGACTTCTAGGATCACAGTTAAACATATTGTTGAGCTGTTGGTGAAGTTAAAATGTCCTGAGACAGAAATCTTATAAGATGTCATTATTTATTTTTGCTACTTAGCAGACTGTGTTGAACAGAATGGTACATGATGACAGAGTATCGATTATGTGAGCATCATGTGTTTGTGTTAATCCAAAGTTGAACTGTTTCACTTGTAGTTTGTCATCTGCAGTACAGTCTTGTTTCCTTTCTAGTGCTGTGCTAATTTTGAGAGTGCCACTGTGTCAATGAAAGACCAGAAGAATGCTGTGGAGGATGTAGCGAATGAGGCTGTGAACTTACTGTGGAATCTATGGTAAGCCTGGATGTTGTACTGTTTGGTTGACAAATGACAGCAGAGTGTTTATTTTGTTGACCGAAGGCTGGTGTACTGAGTTAGCATGCTTGCTTCTTTTATTCACACCCTTACAACTCACCAGTACTGTGCTGTTCACTGCTTAGCATCTCATAAGGCTAGTAGGCTACAGCTGTGGAAGAAGCAGAGAAAAATCCATGTGCACTTAACCCCACTTTACTTAGCTAGTCCAGAAAATTGCAAGGCCACTTCCTGAATTTTGTGTTCTGCAACTGTTACTACACCATAATATGTTGCATATTCATTGCTTGTCTTACATCCCATTTCATCTTGTTATCCTGCCAGCGAGAGCAGCACCCAGGCACTGACTGTGTTCAACAAAGCAGGTCTCCTGGATGTGGTCATTCAGTGTCTGGAGAGGCACCCACACAATGTGGAACTGGCTTTATCTGCTGGTAAGACTAAATTAATACACTGTTAATTGGTTGTCATAAATTATTTTATGTATTTATATTTACAGTCTTTCCCCCAGAAAATCTTTCTGGCACAGATTTTTCATGTCCATTCAGATTCTCAGTCATCCAGGTCATAGTAAGCTGAAAAAACATAGAAAAAAAATCAACTGGACTTGGTTTTTAGGTAGAAAACGTTTCACCTCTCATCCAAGAGGCTTCATCAGTTCTGTCTGACTGGTGTTGAGCCGGAGATATTTATCCCCCTGGGTGGTGTTTCAGTCCTTCGATGGCCTACAATGTCCCCTAATGACTGACATGTTGCGGTTCCAGTCCTTTGGTGGCCAACAAGGTTTCCAATATCCTTCCACCTTCAGGCTTCTGTCCCCTCCCAAGTGGACTGCACAGTCCAAAAAGGCCAGACAGTCATCCTTGGCATCCTCACAAGTGAACTTGTTGTTGATATCCACAGAGTTGATATGCTTCGATCAAAGCCTCTACCTCCTGGGTCCTGATTTTAACCCATGTGTCATCCACATAGCAGAACCAGTGGCTGGCAGCGGCACCAGTGAAGGAAGACAGGGCTTTGTCCTCAAATTCTTCCATGTACAGGTTGGCCACTATAGGAGACACAGGGGAGCCCATAGCACAGCCGTGTTGCTGCCTATAGAAGTACCTCCTAAACTGGAAGAAGGTAGTGTTTAAACAGAGGAAACCTACACACACAGACCAATACCTTCTTTTTGACTCACACCATCCACTTCAAGACAAACTGGGAGTCATCAGAACTTTAAATCACAGGGCAAAGGGGGTGCCCACAACTGCAGAAGGGGCCAAGAATGAGGAACTACACATCCAGAACTCCCTTAAGGCTTGTGGATACCCTAAGTGGGCCTTCACCAAAACAAGGAAGAGGCCCAACACCAAGAGGGAGAAACCAGAAACAAGAGGGGATAACACTGTCATCCCTTATATGGCTGGTTTATCAGAGAAGTTAACTGGGATATTTCGCAACCACAATATCCCAGTTAACTTTAAACCAGGGAACACCCTGCGGCAGAGACTGGTCTACCCGAAAGACAAAACACCCAGACATAAACAGAGTGATGTGGTGTATGCAATTAAGTGTAGTCAGGAGTGTAACGACTTGTACATTGGTGAAACTAAACAGACACTTTACAAACGCATGGCCCAACACAGGAGGGCCAACTCCAGTGGACCAGAGTCAGCAGTCCACCTCCACCTGCAGGAGAAAAGACACTCTTTTGAGGACAGTGAAGTACAGATCCTCTCCAGAGAACATCGCTGGCTTGAGCGAGG